CATGTTGGCCAGGATAGTCTCGATCTCTTGACCTCATGATCCGCCTGCCTTGACTTCCCAAAGTGCTGGGATTACAGGCCTGAGCCACCACACCCAGCCGCCTCACACAACTTTTATGAAAATAGGATGATGTTAACATCAGTGTCAAGCAGGCGCAGCTTCTTCCCTGCACGAATCCCCATGGCAGGTCAGGACTAGAGGCCTGGCGAAAGCAACATCTGGTCTGTTTTGGCGAAGTAGTTTAAGGTAAGCTAAAGACATCGTGACATCTTATTGCTGAATGTTTTAGTATTCATTGAAAAACAGAAACGTTGTCTTACATAATCAAAAAATGATTCTCACATATAACAAAATTAATTTTCAATTTTTTTTTTTTGGAGACCGAGCCTTGCTCTGTCACCCAGGCTGGAGTACAGTGGCACAATGTCAGCTCACTACAACCCCCGCCATCTGAGTTCGAGCGATTCTCGTGCCTCACCCTCCCGAGTAGCTGGGACTACAGGAACATGCCCAGCTCATTTTTTTTATTTCTAATAGAGAGAGGGTTTCACCCTATTGGCCAGGCTGGTCTCATACTCCTGACCTCAAGTGATCTGCCCGCCTCGGCTTCCCAAAGTGCTGGGATTACAGGCATGAGCCAATGAACCCAGCCTCTAATACTGTCTAATAAACTATTGGTCCCATTTCACAGAGGAAAAACTAAGACTTGAAGTGGGTGAGCAACTTGTTCATCGTCAGTCAGCTAGTGGGCAACAGAGCCAAGATCTGAACCCTGATGTGATTCCAGCTCTCCTCTTTCTTCACATCTCCAGTTCTGCACAGTGGCTTATACCCTCTTACTAATCCACCATCCGGCTCTTACAACAACCCTGAGCAGTGTCGGGGTGGGCATTGCAATCACTTTTTTAACCAATCAGGAAACAGAAGCCGTGAGTGTTTTGCTCCATGTGCCCAGGTAGGGCTGGTTGAGAAAGGGCTCTGGGAATGGAAAGCAGATGGAAGGAGGGTTAGTTCCCTGGTGAAGCTGGTGCCAGAAACTAGGCCTCCTTTTCCACAGCCCCAACAGGTGCTCTCCCTTCACTGTCACTGCCTCAGCCTCCGCCTCCACCTGCGTCTGCCTCCTCTTCCTTCCTCTCCTGATCTGTTCGCCTCCTGTTCCCAACCCCTCCATCCAGAGCCTCCTTCATTTCCTCTCTGGTCTCTAAGGATCAGTTTACAAAGTGACTAGGCAGTGACCCCTGCCTGTCCTCTGTCCCTGTTGCCTTCCCTCTTTTCCTCAGCCTCGAGCACAGACAGGGACATGTTGGCGGCAGAGCCTCTAACCCATTTCCTCTGCAGCCCTCGGCTGGTCTCCTGCCGGGGTCCCGGAGGGCGAGTCTGGCCCGACAGCACACATGGAGAAGGCATTTGCTCCGGGAGCATCTGCTTCCCTCCCCAACCCAGCTGTCCCTGTCCCCTCACATGCTGCTGCTCCAAAGCCCTGTGATTTCAGAATGAAGATTCAAAATGGTTGCAGGGCCAGTGAGCTGGGTTAAAACCCACAGCAAAAAAGGAGAGGCCTGTAGGTTGGCTCAGAGGTACAGGGATGTGGTACAAGACAAGCGTCATCTGTCCCTGAGTTTACCAAGTGCCCACAGTCTGGTGTAGCTGCTGCCTGTGCACAGCGGAGGGTCCTGGAGAGGAGGCAGCTGCAGGCACCTGGCGCTTGTTCCAGCCACACCACTGCCTCGTCCAAAGACACGGCAGACTCAGGGAGCCACTGCTTCCGCTCAGGACAGCCAGATGTGCCCAGCCATCCTCAGGAGCCAGGGGAGGCCCCAAGGGAGCAGTGCAGCCAATACACCCTGATACAGGATAAATGTTAGCTAGGGGATCCGTGAAACTCAGTAAATAACTGAGCAAGACTTTGAGCAGTCTTGTCAGAAAAGAAGGGACTTAGCAGTTCCACAGGACTCTGGCCAGACTGAGGGAGCCACAGTCTCAGAGTGGACGGGGACAAACCAGAGAATGTCCAAAGATGGGGAGCAACCTGGGGCACAGGAAATCAAGTCACAGGGAGAAAATCGGGGAGAATGTGAGCCCATTCGTAAGATAGGAATAGCAATCCTTTCTCATGGGGTTGTTGGGGACCCCTAACCCATGCCTAGTATATGTAAGTGTACAACAAATGGTAACTAGTATTATTTATTTAGGTGGAGAAGAGAAGGGATGGACACACAGTTTCAAATAGTGAATGACTTTCATTCGGAATTGGGATTTGAGTAATTTTGCAAAACTTCCATGAAAGAATTCCCCAAGGATAGAAGTGTCAGAGAAGCAGATTTTCATTCAACTTGAAGAGAAGGAGGGTGAGCGCTATGCTGATTCAGCATATCGACCTGCCACACGAGGTGCTGGCAGGGGGCTTAGTACTTGTGGTTGTATCTCATCTGTCCAATAACTTGAAGAGGGAGCTTTGGTATTCTCACTTCACAGATGATGGCCACGAGAGTGAGACAGAGTGGGTTCCTTACCCACGGTCGTGCAGCCCCGCCCGACATTGCAGGGCCTTCTCTTTAGGAGGTGGCAGAGGGGCTTCCTGCGTGCAAAGGAAGGTCCCATCAGCCCTTTTGGAACCAAAATTTCACCTCAAACTACTGGAGTCTCAGTCCTGAGTCCCTCCTTGTAACCCCCTCATTTCTGAGTCTAGCTGGGAGGACACTCCAGGGACCCCAGGCTGCCCCTTAGTCCACACAGTTGCCTGTCCTTCCCTCCAGGCTGATGTGAGCCCTGGGGACCCAGGGATGCTGGAGATGGAGGCCCCCCAGTGAGGATGGAGAGCACAGGCCCTGAGCAGGAGGGACGATGAGCAGCAGGCACCGGGACCTGGGAGTCCACAGCTTCACCTGCCACAGGGCCCAGGCACTGAGCTTTCACAGAGCAGAACACAGCTCCAGGTGACGTCAGCTTGGCTGAAGCTCCTTGGGAAGAGGGGAAGGAGAGAAAGAGGGGAACTCTTGCTAGGCCTCCAATGCTGCCACCAAAGGATGGAAAAATCTGACCCCATCCCATATCTTAAACTTAGATGCTTAAGAAACATTTGTTCAATTCATTGTTTACATTCTTTGGTTAAGGGTTATAAGTAAGCTTAATAGTCAGGAGCTATACGTGCATAGTCTCATGTGTTCTTTTCAGGAAAACCATTAAATAAAGGAAGTGAAGCTCAGAGAAGTTATTTAAGATGCCAAGGTCACAAAGTAATAAAGAGATAAAGATGTGTTCTCACAACTGAGCTTTCTTGTCTCTCAAGGCAAGGAATCAGCTCACCTTGTCTCTCCTAGCCCCTCAGCTCCCGAGGCAGCAGAGACAGGAGCCCTGGGCCTGTTTTCGCATTCCAGACACAGCTCTCCTCTTCCAGGCAGTGGCTGTGCTCATCCATGGGGTTCCTGTTCTGGCATAGCCAGGGCACAGGATGAGGGATATGCTTCACCTCTGTGATGGTCTGTTTTGTGTATCAACTTGGCTAGGTCATGGGGTACCCATATATTTCATCAAACATCACTCTGGGTATTTCAGGAGGGTGTTCTGGGGTGAGATGAACATTTGAATTGATAGAATCAGTAAAGAACATAGCCCTCCCCAATATGGGTGGGCCTCATCTAATCAGGCGAGGGCCTGTATAGAACAAAAAGGCTGAGTGAGATGGAACTCCTCCTGCCTGACTGCCTGAACTGGAACCGTGGTCTTTTCCTACCTTCAGACTCAAACTGCAACCTCAGCTCTCCCTGGATCTCAGGCTTGTGGACGGCAGATCTTCCCTTTCCGTATATTCATATAGCCTCTTGGATCTCTTTCTCTGGAGACCCCTGACTAATACCTTCCCTCCCTGACTCTCCCTTCTAGGGTCCCCTTCCTAAGGGGAAAGAGCAGGCTGAGGAGCCCTGCCCCCAACTTCCATGTTCCTGATGCCCCAGCTGAGAAAAGGCTGAGGGGCTGATAATGGAAGCAGCGAAGCAGCGTAGATTAACTGCATCAGCACACGGTCTTGCTGCCGCCGGAGGATCCTTCAAAGCTCCCGCAGTTCACAGGGCTGGAATTCTCCTGTTTTCTCCAGAGACAAGGCCTGGCCAACCCAAGGTGAAGAGTGGTGCCGGATCCCCATATTTTATGTCCACAGGAAAATCTAATGGAGTTCTGAGGACATTCCCAGTTTGGGGAGTAGGGGAATCAAAATGAGTGGCCCATATAGGCTGGCCACCAGTAGTCAAACCTCTCAGGGACCGACCACCTGCTATTGTGCTCCATAGCTGAGATAGGAGGGAATGGGGACTCAGGACACTGAGGAAGGCATGGAAGGGCCTTGGCCATGGATTGAGTGAGAGTGGGATAGGGGCCTGTTCGTACAGCTACTGTCCCAGGCAAGTGAGAAGCCAGAGTGCCACAGTGATATCTCTGGGCCCTGGAAGAGCCACCTGGAATTCAACTCTCACAGCTCCTATCTTGGCTAAGCCTTGGAGAACCTGAAACCAGACATCAGATCCCCCTTCTCACTGGAGTTCAGGAATCTCATCCTCCCTCTAACCCTGCCACCAGAGGATGGAAAAATCTGACCCCCTCTCGGGCTGTCATTCAGAGATAGCTAGACAACAGGATATGCTCTAAGAGGTAGAGAGAGGGAGAATTCAGAGAGCCCTGAACAGCAGGAATGCTGGGGGCCCGTCCAGCTCCAGGTCCAGACTTGATATTTCAAATCTACTAGGAGCATGATGCTGTACCTACTGCACGCCAGGCACTGTTCACCTGTGTGTGTTCATGAGTGCATGCATGAACAGGCGTGAATAGCAAACACATATGTGTACAAATGACATCAAACAAGTACATCGAAGATTTGTAAAATACACAAAAAATAAATGTATAGCTTGATGAACTGTAACCCTCACTTGACTCAAGAAATAGCACATTTCAGCACCCAAAAGCCCCGTATGCTAATTTAAGTTTTGTCATTTGATATTCACAGTATACTCTTTACAACAAAGAAGGTGTTATTATCCCACTTACCTGCGAGGAAGCCAGAGCTCAGGGAGGCTTGGAAACTTCCTCGCTTCTCAGTTTATCACTAACCCCGGTTGTGTCTGACTCCACAGCTCCTACTGTCACTCCACTGAAAGGTGTGTTTGAACCTCACAGCCCCTGTGGTCGGGAGTCGTCGGTTGGGCCTCCAGTGATTGAACCAGAAGAGTTTAGGGGCCTTTCTCAACTCTGTCCACTGACTCTCATTTTACAATATCCTTCAAATGAAAATACAGGAAGCTCGTGGTCCTCTCTCCTAGGTTTGCCCCAGCCACATCCTGCCCTCCCCAGCTCTGCATTATGGATGGAGTGAATCATCTGGTAAATAATTCACGAGTCATCGAGGTACTGAGGGTAACAGGAGAGCAGGGGTGGAGGCATGGGCAGGGCTGGAGTTGGCAACCTGAGCCAGACCCCCATCCTCCCAAGGCTGGGCTCTGCTCTGAGTAGAAGGGGCCCACAGTCAGGCAAGAGCCTCAGGTGGGCGGCCACTAGGGAGATGGGGCCATGGTGGGTCAGAGGGCCCAGCACCAACCGGCCAGCCTCCTGCTGCTGTTACACCTCTGCCTTCTACATCTGAGGGCCTCAGGTAAGTGACACTCAGATCCTCCCAGGGTGTTCATTCTCCACTCCCATCGCAGTATTCCTGCGTCTTCCTTAGGGATTCTCCTTTTGCGCTTGCATAGCCATTCCACGAAGTCCTTCAGTCATTCATCGGCTAGGCATTTAACTAGCGTGCGCTGAGTGACCACTATGTGCCACGTAGGTGATAGCACTCTGCTTTACCTTGAGAAGCTGAACTCATCTTGAGAGCCACTGTCAGGTGGTAAGCTTACGAGTGGCATGCTCAGACCTAGGTTTCAGAAAGCTCCCTGGTTTTGAGGGGGATGAAGGCAATCAGGAGATCATTGCAGTAATCCAGGTGAGAGATGCTGGCATCTCGGGCCAAAGCAATGTCTGTGGGGTTGGAAAAAATTGGTTTCTGGGTTACATATTTTTAGCAGAGAGGCGGTGCATATGAAGAGCCCAGGGCCTGGAAGGAAGGAAGCATTTAGGAAATGGAAGCTAGTGTGAATTACTCCAATGGCTTGGCTGTCCTTCTAGACACTTATTTTCATGCAAATTTGCTGAGGCCCTCAGCACTTTATGGCATGAGGCCCATGCTGGCCACATGCGAGGGGACAGCGGGGAACATAGTACTTGGGTTTAGGCTGGGACTGAGGGCTGGGCTTTAAGCCAAGAACACCTGTTGAGTGACTTACTCCACAAGAACTACTTAATGGCCAGTCCCCAGTAGACTGGGAGCTCCATGAGAGCCGGGCTGGGGGGCTCATTTGTCCTTGTGATCCTGGCACCCAATACTTAGCTGAATGAACGCTGCATGGGCTGATGCAGGCGGTGTCCTCTTCCCTTGCTGCAATGGGACTGGAGCAGGGTGGGATCGAGCACTGGGACCCTCCTGGAATCCTTACACAGGGAACTCCAGATCCTGACTGCCAGTGGCCATGCAGGTCATCATCTCCAGGGTCTCCAGGGTCACCATCCTCATAGGACTGATCATCAGACTGATCTTGGGGCGCTTGTTACAATTACAGATTCCTGGGTTCTGACCCCCTCACCATTACTGGAGGTGTCTGACTCAAGAGTCTGGGGTGATGCCCACAAATCTGCCTTTGGAATGATCTGGTGACTCATGAGGAGGGGGGATCTCCACTCCAGTCCATTCTCTGACTTCAGTCAACCCCTCCTTGGGTGCATCCAAACAGGAAACCCCAGAGGCTCCCAGAAACTGTCTCTTGCCCACCAATTCCAGAAATGCTTTTACTTGGACTTTCTGAACCTTGCTTGGTTTTCTTGGGACTGCAGAACCAAAAAGAGAGGCTCTAGGCACGGCAGGGAGTGCAGGAGAGTCCCGAGCAGCCCAGAAGTCCTGCTGTGCCCCTTCTCTCCCCAGGCCAGCCCCACCCGACCCCCGACTCCCCTGCAGAGGAGGTGGTGTCCGTCCAGGGAGTGCGAGGCGGCTCTGTGGAGCTGGCCTGTAGCTCCGGGCCTGCCCCACTGCTGATCCTCTGGAGCTTCACCCCCATGGGCTCTCTGGTTCCCCGGCCAGTGGCCATCACGGATGGAGCCATGTCCAAGGTGGAGGCCGTAGCCTCAGCTCTGGGAGTCGTGAGTCTCAGGAACAGCAGCCTGGTGCTGGGGGAGCTTCGCGAGGGTGCCCGCGGCCACTTCCTGTGCCAGGTTCTGCACGTGGCCAGCGGCCAGCTCCACACCACCTACTCCCACCTTATGCTGGCTGTGCTTGGTGAGGGCCTGGCCTGGGCTGCAGTTGGTCCTCGGGCTGCTTTGTATTTCTCTGCATGTGTACTGCCCATTCTCTCTCTCTCTCTCTCTCTCTCTCTCTCTCTCTGTCTCTGTCTCTCTCTGTGTGTGTGTGTGTGTGTGTGTGTGTGTGTATGTGTGTGTGTGTAGAACCCGGGGGGCCTGGGTTCTAAAGGGTGTCCCACTCCAGAGATTGAAAAATGCTGGGGTGATAAGGAAGGGATGCTCAGGGTGTTTGGGCAGGTGAGTCCCCAGCCAGCAGGGGTGGGGGCACTGGACACAGCTGGGCATGGCCTGGGTCTGTAATAACACATCGGGCCTCTCCCTCCTCTGGCCAGTGCCGGTGTCCAAGCCTCAAGTGCGACTGAGTAACCCATCTCCTGTGGAGGGAGCCTCCGTGGTGGCCACGTGTGCAGTGCGGGAGGGCACAGAGCCCGTGACCTTTGCCTGGCAGCATCGGGCATCCCGAGGCCTTGGAGAGGCCCTGGTGGGGGTCACGGAACCACTATTCCAGCTGGACCCTGTCAACCGGACGCACCTGGGCTGGTACATGTGCAGTGCTCGCAACTCCGTGAACAGGCTGAGCAGTGATGGGGCCTTCCTGGACGTCATCTGTGAGTCAGACTGTTCGGGGGGCTGTCAGGGCTGACACCCATCTCCCCATCCACACTCAGCCTGCCACGCCTCAGAACTCCGCAAATCCCTCCACTGCGGGAGCGCCCCCCTCTCTAAAACACTCCAGCAGGGAAGAGTAACGGGGTGCTATGCGCCTGCTGCCCAGAGCGGCTCTAGTTCCAGGATGTTAGCCTTTTTAACACCCCTTTCCAGGAGAACGTGCATACGTTCATGCTTACAATTTCATCTAGGATTTCACAGGTGGCCTGGAAAGTCTGCCTTTAGCTTGAGCCTGGAGGGCTCTCAGAAACCGACAGAGCCCGAGGAGACAGGGGGTGGGGCCACGGTGGGAGGAGAGGGCAGCAAGCCTGAAGTCAGAAATCAGGAGGCCCGGGTGAAAGATGAAAACCAGGGTGGCCTGGAGCTTGCTGTCCCATATGGCAGCCACACATGTGTATCTTCAGTCACTTGAGATGGAGCCAGTCCAAACCAAGCTGTGCTGTAGGCTGGGAAGGCACATTTGATTTTGAGGATTTAGTTTGAAAGAAAGAATGTAAAATATCTCATCAGTAACTTTTACATTGATTATATATTAAAATAACATTCTGAATCTATTTGGTTAAATATAACATATCCTTAAAGTAAAAACCAATTGGTGGTTTTTATTTTTGTGTTTTGCTTGACTGGGTTTGGTCATTTTTACTTTAAGATTTGGCTACTAGAAAACATTTAAAAAGTCTGTGGCTGGCATCTGCCTATTGGACAGTGCTGGCCTTAGATATTTTAAGGAGCAAAGATGAATGGTGTCCTATTTGTCCGTCTCCATGGTGGCAGTTTGTGGAAACTGTGAACTGGGGACTGCTGAGGAGGCAGGAGAGCAGGAGAGTTCTTGGGAGAGAGGTAGGAGCAGACTGGAAGCAGGCAGAGAATTCAGAACTCTTTTGGAGTCAGGGAGAGCTTCAGAGATGGTGACCCAGAGCTTGGAACGCAGGAGAGAGGGGAAGCTGGAGTCTAAAGAAGTGAAAGGAGGGATCGCACTCAGGGTGTCGTCCCACCATGGTGTCTTACTTCTGCAGTCTATAGTGGCCGCACATCTGCTCCCAAGAGCCCTCCATCTCAGGCACATGGGGAGCGTTGCCCCTCTACCTCTTTTCCGCCCCTCCTTGGCCCAACTCAGCAGTCCCTCGGGGAAGCCCCCACAGCCCAGTGCGCTCATCTCCACACACAAGCCCTGAGCACCCTGGACTGTGCCCATGGCCCCTGGACACTGAGCTTCTGGAGGCCTAGCCTCGGGGTGGACACGGGATGGTGCATACTATCTGCCTGTAAGCTCGATGCATGCATACATTCAGAGATGAACATGTGCATGAATTAATGAATGAAGTTGGGGAGGTGTAATGGGCCTTCCTTGCTCTCCAGATGGTCCTGACAAGCCTGTGATCACCGTGGAGCCATTGGGACTCACGGAGGAGGGTTTCTGGGCCAGTGAGAAGGAAGAGGTGACCTTGAGCTGCCTGGCTGCTTCCAACCCTCCTAGTCACTATGTGTGGCTCCGTGACCACACGCAAGTCCACACGGGGCCTACCTACGTCATCACCAGAGCTGGCCGTGCCCACACAGGCCTGTACACCTGCCTGGCCCGCAACAGTTACCTGGACACCCGCACCCAGACTACTGTCCAGCTCACCATCTACTGTGAGTGTGGGGGTCAGGTGACACCCAACCGTGGCCTGGGGGCGACCCATGCTGGAGTCTCTGTGGGTCTGTTCTCTGGCAGATCCAGCCGCCCTGTGGAGACACGTGTCTAAGTTGCTCTTGCCGGAGGGATGTCTCCAAACCAAGTGGAGTTGGAGGCAGGGAAAGAGGATAAGAAAACTGTGGGAAGGGGAAGGGAAAGGGGAAGCTACTGACACTGCATAGCCTCCACCACAAAGTGATTATTCCCATGGCCCTGCAGACTGAACTGAGGCACAGAGAAGGGCGATGGCAGTAAGGCAAGGTGTGTGGCTCCTGGCTGCCTAGGGGCAAAGAAGAGAATGGGAGATTGGGCCTTCCAAGGGACCTCTGGGATTCCCTGGGGACTCCCAAACTCCTATACACCCCGTAACCTCCTGCCCCTGACCTGAGAGTTCAGCCTGTTCCTCACTAGCCCCTCAGAGAGACTCAATCTTTCCCCCGCACCTACTTCTCCCTCCTCCCCTACCCACTGACACCTCAGGCCTCCAGACTCCCCTGCCTGGGCCTGGGGGCTGCAGGGCACTGGCAGTGGAATCTGCTCCAGCCCTGCCTCACCCACTTCCCCATCCAGATCCCCCTGAGGGGCAGCCCTCCTGTGCAGTGCTTCCCAGCCCTGGGGCTGTGACTCTGCTCTGCACCTGGCCTGGGGGGCTTCCACCTGCCCAGTTGCAGTGGGAAGGGCCCCAGGGACCTGGCCCTACTGCCCCCAGCAACGTCACCTGGAGTCATGCAGCCACCCAGCTCCCCAGTGGCAGCGTCTTCACCTGTACTGGCCAGCACCCAGCCCTGACACCATCTGCCCTCTGCACGGTCGTGCTCTGTGAGTGGACACAGGAAATCCCAGGGCTCTGACATTCCAGGCAGAGGGTGGGTAGAGGTCAGGGGAGAGCCAGTGGGCCTGGGATGTGGGTGGTGCTCCAGACCCACAGGCTCCAAAACATGCCATGTAACAAGGAAGTGGGCAGTGCTCAGTGCCCATCTCCTAGCTTTCCCATCCACACTGTGCTCTGTCCTCCTCACTTTGGGTTTGGAGCCCTGACACCTCCCCACTGTCCCTGCCCACAGGGTCAGCGTGCTCTTACTGCCTTACATGCACTTCTGCTGCTCTGTCACTTGCTGGGCTTGAAATTTGCCTTCAGCATTCTCTCCACCAAGTGCCCAGAGAGAAACTCCCAGCCATCAGCCAAGACAGAGTTCAGATGTCATCCTGTCCTCTTTCCAGAAGCCCCAGAGAGTTTGTCTATCTGTCTATATTCTAGCATACATCAAAGCATAATAATTGTTTAGTGTCTGTTCCCACCATTTCCCTGACACATGAACAGCCATCAATAAATGATGAGTGAGTGACAAAGTAATGGAGGAAGGAGGGAGTAAAGGAAGAAATGAAAGGAAGGCAGATAGGGTGGACCTGCCAAGCCTTTCCTCCTTCCACGGGGCCATGTGGAGCCATCATTCCTTCCAGGGGAACCTCTTGGGAGGCCTACCTGCGGGAGCACAGCCACGATGGGGGACCAGTTCATCATGCTGAGTTGTGAGTGGCCTGGCGGCGAGCCCCCAGCCATGCTGGGCTGGCTTGATGAACAGCAGCAGCCCCTGGGCGGCAGCAGCTCCTCGATGGCTGTTCACCTCCTGCAGGCCCAGGAAGATCTGGCTGGCCGAGAGTTCACCTGCCAGGGCACTCACCTGCTCAGGACCCCTGACCCCCACTGCCACCTCCGGCTGGGTGAGTAGGGGCTAGCAGGTTTGTTTTAGGGCTGGGAAAGGAGGAGCAACCCTTTGCAACCAAGATAAAGTGATCTTGTGGGACTGGCTGTGCTGGCATGGAAAGGGAGTCAGTGCGGACGGGGAAGCTAGGAGGTAGGAGCTGAGCTCCCAGGGACTCAAGTTTTCTTTGATGCATTAAATGAGGGGGTTAGGCTAGGTCAGAGTTGTGCAATAAAAATACAATGTAAGCTGTAGATACAGCCATTGAATTATTCTAGCAGCCACATTTTAAAAAAAGAAACAAGTGAAACACTTTAGTTAAGTCAATATATCCAATATTATCATTTCAACATGTAATAATAAAAAATTATTAATGAGCTATTTTACATTATTTTTTATCTTGTCTTTAAAATCTGGTATATTTACAATTATTGCACATCTCAATGTGGATTGGCCATGTCTCAAATGCTCACATTGCAGTGGCTGGTCACTACAATATTGGATTGCTCACTTACATGGATTTTCATAAGAGAGGTGCCTGATTCTGTTCTTGATTTGCATGAACCTTTCAGAAGTCAGGTCTCTCTCTACCTCTCTTACTCGGTTTGGTTTTGGTCTGGTTCCTCTTTGTCTTCATCTGGTTCTTCCAATCTATTTACTGCAACCAGGAAAAAAGAATTAAATATCAAAGTTAAAAAAAAAAAAAAACGTGAGAAAAGCAAACAGAGAAGCTGTCACGTACAATAGTTCTCACAGAATGGTTTACCTCTTGGTCTCCAAAGGCTTGGTGACTAGCATGTTCTCAGGGCTCTAAGAAGGCCTCAACCCCACGTTTCCTTCCCTATTACTCAGCCTCAGGACCAGAAATTCCAGCGGATGAGATTCATTGACACCTGAGAGCCTGGGTCTTTAATAAGTCAGTCCATAGAATCTGAGCACCTGCTATGGGCCCAGCACTATGCCTGGAGCCAGCCAGGAGGTGGGGCGCCACTAGGGGAAGGGAGGCCAGGTGCTGCAAGGGGGCGGTTTATGCAGAGAAGAGTAAGGCAGGGCCCCTACCTGCAGGAGCCGAGGCTAGGGTGGGGCAGGGAAAGAGCAGGGAGAAACAATCATATATCAGCAAACCCTGGGGCACACTGTGACAGGAACTTGGCATGGAATGGGAACCTGAAGCGAAGGCAGACTGGCCCCAGACAAGCTTCACTGTCAACTGTGCAGCATTCCTGCTCCATCTCCCCTCCATCCCTTCCACTGCTGGCCACACCTTGCCCCCAAGCCCTCCCACTAGCCAGAGACAGGGGACCTGATCCAGCCTCATCCTCTCTGTTCCCGCAGAAGCCCCACAGTTGGACGTGGCTGAGTCCCGGGTGTCAGTGTTTGAGGGGGGAGAGGCCTGGCTGGAGTGCTCTCTCCGGCAGGGCACACCACCTGCCCAGCTCCTCTGGCTGGGACCTCAGCAACACCAGGTGGAGCCGGACACTTTGGGATTCATGCTGCACCCCGAGCGTACCCAGCTGCGCCTGGGCATCCGCAATGCTGACCCAACACGCCACAGGGGCACCTACCAATGCGTGGCCCGCAACGCAGTGGGCAACAGCAGTCGGAGCGTGCTGCTGGAGGTCCTGAGTGAGTGTGGGGAGAGGTGCGTGTGTGTGGTGAGGTGGGGCTGGGAGACCTGCAGCCACAGAATGCTTTAAGTGGAAAGGCACAGGAATTCCCTGCTCCAAAATGTGGAAGCTTGAGCTTGGGCATTGGCAGGACTCAAGCGCTAGTTGGACAGCGTGTGCATGAATCTGGTGCACGCTTCAAAGCAGGCCAATAGAACTCCATGCAGGCAGGATTGCCTCCCTTACATTTTATAGATGAGAAATTTTTCTTATCATTTTCTCTGATGGGACAAGACTGCTTCTCAGGTCTACAGAGCAAATCCAGTGCCTTTTCCACACTGCCAGGCTGCCTCTCAACAGGAGCAAATCTGAGGGGACAAGCACACGTGCTTGTAGGTATACAGTGCCCCTTTGTGTCCCCACCTCACCCAGGATATCCAGCTCCTCCCAACGTCACCATCAGACGCCTGACCTATGGGAGGCACCGGAGGGAGGTGCAGCTTCAATGGGCCATCACAGGCCCTGGGAACCTGACGGGCTTCCTGGTGCAGCGGAAAGCCAGTGCCCTGGGCCCAGGAGCTGGGGCTTGGGAGATAGCAGCTAGCGACATCGAGCCGGAGAGCCGAGGCCGGCGGCTGGGAGGCTTGGACCCTGGGGTCCTTTATGCCTTCCGCATCCTGGCTCTGAATCACCACACTGCAGGACACCCCTCTGAGGTGAAGATACCAGGTGCCAGGCTAGCACCAGGGAGGGACTCACCTTTTCTCTAAAGCACTGGCCCCTGGTTCATCTTCCTCTTCACAGGGCATCCCCTCCTCTGTTCCTCTGCTCCCTTCCTACTGAATTCTCCCATCCCCAGCCTGTCCTCTTCTCCACTTTCCCCTCAGATAATCTCTATTGCTCTTTCCCATCCCTCCCTGTAGGGCTTGGGAGGCTCCAGGCTCAGGGTTAGAAACCCTATTTCATGTGATCAAAATAGAGAGGAAGGAGAAGGTGCTGGTGACTAAGAACAGGAGCCCACTCTGTGCCTCAGTCTCCCCTCCAGGGCTACAGGCAGGCTCTCAGCTTCCTGCCACCCTGTCTCCACCCTGGGAATTCCTTCTTTTATGGCATACTTCCCTTCAGCCCCAAGCTACCAAGATAACCAGCCTCTTGTCTTCTGCACCAGAAACAGGGGATTTGGATGGGGAGTCAAACCCAGAGCACCAGGCAGACAGAGCGCCACCTTCTTTGGGAGAGACCTGATCTTCGGGTTCTCTGGATCTCCCATGTCAGCTGCAGGGGAAACTGGATGAGCAGGGCACTGCTTCTCCAGAACCCTAGAGATTCTCTACAAGCCACTGTGGCCCAGGTTCTGCAGTGGCTCTAAACCGTGTACCTGTGCTCTCCCCTCCTAGCGGACCCCCCCTTCAGCGCCTATCCAGCGGTGTTGGGTGCAGCAGGCACAGGAATGGTGGTGGCCACGGTGGCCTCTCTACTGGTGTTCCAGTATGCTGCCCGGCACCCGGAGACTTTCCCTCGTGAGTGGGAATCGGAAGGGAGGGGCCGCTTGACCCCACAGGGGCCAGGCCCTGAGCTATCCAAAGGACAGATGAAGTACTCCAAGGGGTGAATCTAGGCTCTTCCTTAATTCTCACCCTCTTTCCAGTGCTAGATGTTGCCATTCGGGGCTCCCACCCCTAACCCCCATCCCAGGCACCGGAGGTCATCCCCTTCTGGGTTCCTGAGGCCCCAGTACAGAGCCCACTGGGAAAGAGAGGGCCATTCTCCTGGAAGCTCTGCTGGGAAGGCCAAGTAATGCTCCTTTTCTTTTTCCTACCTACAGGCCTTGGTCAACTGCTTGTTCCCATGTGAGTGTGGAACCCCAGTCATCCTGGGGGCCAGGGCTTTCGTCCAGTTGGAAAGGAAAGGGAAGTGAGTTGCCACTAACTCTACTCTCCCACTTCACCCTCAGGGAGCAAAGGCACCAACAGAGGGGTTCAAGAGAAGACGCTGAGGCGCAGGCAGGTGAGCACGACTTTATCCAGAAAAAGAACTCATGTGCAAGGAGACCAGTGCCGAGTGCCGAGTGTGACGCTTGGTCTCTGCTAAGCTCTGGGAACATGTGGACACTCCCAAGGCATCTCTCTGTTCTTTGCCCACATATGCTTTCTGCAGGCCTTGAAACACCAACCGCCACCCCAGGTTTGGATCCTGCACAAGAAACCACAGATGCTCCAGTGAATGTCACCATAACCGTGACTGCAACACCATGAGGCCCAAAGAGGAAGAGGTAAGTAGGCTTAGGGAGGCCAGGTGGGATTTGGGAAGAGCCCTTCTGTTAGACTTTGTCGTGAAACCAAGGTAGCTAAGACACCAACTACCACTTCACTTAATATTGTCTTTACGACCAGTGCAAGGCCCAGCTGCAGTGCCCCTAAGTGACACGGTTACAAGACAAGCCCTGGCCCAACCTGTGGAAGACAGAGGTGGCAGGACGAGGAGGACCCACAGCTGGGAGAGAAAGATTACTGAGTGTCTGAGGGCAAGTGAAAGCCATGGTACTGGGAACCGTTTCTGGTGCTAGAGAAGTATGAGCAAATCAGCTGCTTCCAGAAAAAAAGTCTGTGGATGGAGCAATTCCTAAATAAATCATAGCTGATGCCACACTAACAGAGGGCTATTTGCATTGCAACTCCCACAGGCAGAGGCCGATTGCTGGGTCCCAGGTCTGGCTAGTGGGAAGAAGCAAGGTGTGTAGGTGCGTGTTCATTTGCTCAACCATAGCTTAGAAACATCACTGACACTGCAGTGGCCCGACTCCAGGAGTCCCAGCCCACAAGACTGGAGCAGAGGAACTGCAGATGCGGCTTCCCGCCCCCAAACTGGGGGAGCTGGCCCACAGAGTCCCGGGGCTATTCCAGAGTCACACTGTCAGCTGCCAGCATGACTCACTAGCTTCAAGTGTGTGTGTGTGTGTGTGTGTGTGTGTGTGTGTCTGAAATCTGAGTGGAAACACAAATGAATGCTTGTGGAACTGAAGACCTGGGACTCCAAGCCGCCTCTGCAGGACACACAGATGAGAAGAAACTGCAAGAAAGTCAACGGGTGACCCGCCAGCACAAGGGAAGTGGTGCCTCAAAGGAGACAGAAAATTGAGAAACTTCAGAAGATTCTGTGGTTCTCACAGAGTTAGACTTTATTAGATAAGGGGTTTCGGCAACCCTCAAAGCTCTCAGGACTGGGGCTAGGGTTGAAGACAGGCTATTTAAATATGGGAAATAAAATACAAAAAGGCCATACCCGATGCAAAAGACTTTGTTGGCTTTTTGGTCACAGAAGCCTAGAGATGTGTATTTTCTTAGCGCAGTAAAACAACTTTTTGAAAAGGCTAAATTTCTACCCTGGAGTTCATAAAAAGGAGGCCCTAGGTTAATGGTAAAAATAGACAACGTGTGAGAAGGGACCGCTCCTCCTCATCCTCCCAAGCTCCTCTCCTACCCACCTCCCTTCCTTCCAAAGAAATGCAAAGTTGCCCCAAGGGAATGGGCCTGTCTCCACACAGCCCCCCAGGCTCAGGTATGTTCTCAACCTCCCCTAAAACACTTGCCCAAGATCCTGCTGTCTCTGCAGTCAGAACAGAAGGGGCGTGCATAGGGGATTTTCCGTGAAGGACGGGGTGGGGGTTCCAAAGAATTTCAGAGGAAGACATTCACCCACCCCAGTCACAAACTATAAGCAGCGTTGTACAAACAGGGAGTATCCCCACCTTCAGGAGCTAGGCTATATGAAAGCAGCGTTCTCTTTTAATATAAAATCGTATCAACCAAATAAAACCTGCCAAAGCTACATCATTTAAAATATGTACAGTTTCACACATAATATTACAACTTTAAGGAAGATAATACATACTTTTCAATATGATACAAAGCATGCATCTCAAAGTCATTACTTTAAAAGAGAGCTACACAGGTGAAATTCCATTATAAGCTTCACTTCTTGGCAGTACTGTAGCTGGAAGGAGATCTGTGGCATGATCAGCCAACGATGGATGCACTGGTCTTCACAGACTCATTTGACAAAAACAAAACCCAGAAAGAAAGGCTTTTGCTAAGAACACTTCAAAAGGTTTAGAACATTGCAATTTAACTTGCACCCTGGCAGCACCTGTCACCAGACTGTCAGTGCATACCTGAAAGAAAAGCATTAGAAGGAGACAGTGAAACGATACAGTGGGAGTGGGGCAGTTTAGTGCTAAAACAATCACACAGAATTCTGGATGAGAAGGAACATAAAGAGGCTTGACTAATTTCATGCATGATCACTGAGTGCAGTCAAGATCAAATTTCCAGGTGGGGTTGACAGACAGGGGGCATCAAGGGGAGAAATGTGGACTCCTGGAAGACGAAGCCATTAGCAGAGCTCTGCCTGTGGAGGCCAGAGGGAAGCCTCTCTCGCTGCAGAGTTGCAGCCTCGGAAGAATTCCATGGCACGGGCAGATCACAGCATATGGAATGGGACTGGTTCCATCCAAAGAGTGAACCGCAATGCTTTTGGAAAGCAGTATGGAAAAATGGGAGGAGCCCAGATTATGGCTCCAGATAAACTTGGTTCAGATTCAGGTCCCATGGCTCACCGTGTGACTTGGGGATTTTAACATCAACTTTGTCGATTTATTGTGAGGATTAAATGAGTTAACAGTAACAGGCACAGAGCACAGTGCCTGGTACACAGTAGTTATTCAACACATGTTAATGCCGTCTCCCACACTGTACCATGTTCTCTCATTTCCTGGCGAAGTGACATTAGGTAGGACTGTTTGGGTGCCTGTGCAGGGCATAAAAGTTCAGAGCCAACTCACGCTTAGGGAGAACTCATACTTCCTAAACATAAAGGCAATTATACATACATATATATATATATATATGTATGTGTGTATATATATATCTCAATATATAAAGGCATTTTTTATAAATAAAATACAATAAAAAGAACACTTAAAACAGCGTTACTAACAATATAAATAAAGCAGTCCACAATGAGACTGTCCTAAAGGTAAAGCCATTTTCTCTTCCTCATGGACAGATCCCACATTCAAACTCCGTCTTTAAAAGCAGTTCATGACCAAAGGCTCATGCTAATACACCTGTTTCCTGAATCACAATGTCTACGGACATTTAGTCCCCCGTTTTCTGAAACTCCCTTTCTGAACAGCATTGCTGTAACTTGATTGGCTAACACAGGGTATGTTTTCATATTCTGTGTGCTAGGACTTTGTCCTTGCTAATCACAGAAATAAGGGATGCAGCTATCCCCCTCCAGAGCTAATTGGATCTAAGTAACATGAAGAATAAGTCCAGTATACTATAGGCACAGACATCTGGAATGTAGAACTTGGGTCTACAGCATCCCTAATATCCGACTATGGAATCATATTCACTACATGCTACTGGACGTAACTCCTGCATAGTGACCCAGCTTAAGCAAGCACATTTTCACTAACAGTTTCTATCGTAAAATATACAGACATGTAAGGGAATACTGATGTATTTATACAGAAAGTTGGTTAACATAGGATAATATTCTATTCCACTGCAATTTCTGGGAAACTGTAACATTTCTTCACTTCTGCTGGAATTGCTTGACTCTATATAAAGAGAATAATTTTCTGTTTCTTTCCCCAAAGGGATGCATAATGCAAAAGGGAGCAGTGATCCTTGAAAGCTTGACTCAAGCTATGAAACACACTTATATAAATACTGCTTTTTAATATGAAGAGCCTTCCAAAGGCAGCTGCAAATGTCCTTGTCTTGCAGAGCCAGCCGTGATCAGGAGCTCTGCTGACCAGCACTTTAGGTGCCTGTTTACAAGGATGACATTCCGAAAGAGACATCAGGAAATTTCAGAAAAATACCCTTTTCTTCCAAAGTAAGTCTTTTCCGACACTCACACCTGCAGGCTGCTGCCCATGTTGGAAGTGGGGGATGACTAGTTTCAGCATTGTGGCACCATGAGCATGCTCCTATGCTAATCCAACAGACTGGGGAACTCCCACCAAGGTGCGCTCCCTGCAGCCCTCCCCTTTCTTTCTTCTGAAAATGTGTCTTTCTCTTCAAGCCACCATTTAATGTCTTATTTTGTTCCTACTCTTAGAAACAGACAAAAAGAACCCCATCCTGGCCATTTTATAAATTAATTTTAAAGCAGTGGGACATTAGGCATTGTCTCTCTGGCCTTGGTTCCTTTTCTGCATACTGCCATAATTTGATGACCTTACAGTCCACTGTGTCCACAGCACTGCTATGACTAGTGCCTGGCAAACTGAACATCACTTGTGCCCACTTGCAGATAGAGAGAAAGTCAACAGGTCACATTACCACTTCTGTGGAAGGCACTCTTCTAAAATTCGTCAGCCAGGTCTGCTATTATAAACATGGGTCACACCTGCGGTTGATTTCAAAGTGTTCTCAGAAAGCCTGATAATACAGGCTGGGCAGGTGGCTCACTCCTGTAATCCTAGCACTTTGAGAGGCTGAGGTGGGCAGATCACTTGAGGTCAGGAATTCAAAACCAGCCTGGCCAACAAGGTAAAACCCTGTCTCTACTAAAAATACAAAAAAAGTCAGCCGGGTGTGGTGACTGGTGCCTGTAATCCCAGCTACTTGGGAGGCTGAGGCAGGAGAATTGCTTGAACCAGGAGGTGGAGGTTGCAGTGAGCCAAGATTGTGCCACTGCACTCTAGCATGGGTGACAGAGTCTATCTCAAAAAAAAAAAAAAAAAAAGTCTGAGAATACACTATTGAAAGACCATTTTCCACCGGAAAACCTGGCTGGTGGCAACCACCAATTGGCCCCTGCATGCCCTCCTAGCCGAAGCAGCCAAGAGATGGGATCTTTTGCATCAGGAGCTCTTGCTGCACTATAGCGGTTAGAAAACATGGAAGGACCCCTCTGCCTTCCAGGTGACTGAATACTATGCAAAATAAGGTTGTTTCCTACTGAGGGGGAGGAAGGAATAGTGAAGAAAACATTTAGGCATAAATAATATAAGAGGGCACACATTTTAAGATACATTCATATGACATTACTACTACAAAAAAAATAAATAATGATTTTCTCTGATTTGAATTAAGGTCCTTCACTCAGTTCACTCCCAGGCCTGTTTTGCACAGTTACTGGCTTGAAGTCGGAACATAACTGGTTGTTTGCACATCCTCAGGTTTCCTGGGGCTGCTGAAGGACCTCCGTCAGGCTGTCTAAAGGAATGCCAGGCGGAGACCATGTTGCCTTTTCAGCACAGCCTTCTGAGACAGGTGGCAAAATAAGAGGGTTCCAACTTACAAAGTTGTTCTCTGTTTCTGAATGGGCACAGCTGTCTCCTGAAACACAGGAAGGTTTGGGAGCATTATGAAATGATAAAGGCTGATTTTTACAAAGCAGTCTAAAAACTTGAGCAATGAAGAAAGAAAAATGAACAGAAGTAGAATCTGGTTGTGTTTGGTTTGAATTTGAGGGAGATAGAAGGTTTTAAATGAAGTCGAGCTCTCATGAAGAGCTATACAATTCATCTGAGGATTAAAACAACCCGTTAAAGGCCCTAAAATAAACACCTGAAGGAAAGGTTACAACTCCAGAACCAACTCAAATGAAAAAGGGGCTCATGT